TAGACGAAAATTTGGTTTCTAAATAGACCAATGGGTTAGGATCCAGCGTTACAACGAATGCGCAGGTTTTTTGTTCGGGAAGAGCTACAGATTTTTCCAGACTGTATCCATCCATTGGCACAAGATCCTTGAAACCATAAGGGATGATTTATTAGGTTGCTGGTTGTTAAACCCCTACTAGCGCAATCTACTGGGTTTATGATATGATACCAGGGTACAGTGGGTATGGTTTCCTGAACTTGGCTAACCCGATTTGCAACAAAGGTTTTCCACTTGTGCGGAGAGCTGGATAACCACGCTATAACTACTTGAGAGTCCGTGAAATTAACTTGTCAAGAAGGTCAATAATAAATTTAAGCAACTCTGCCAACAAGGCAGCACCCAATGATTCTAAGCGTGAAAGGCTGACCGTCTTAAAAGGTGCGACTCTGCTATTTGCTATTTAGGCTTGTCAATCTAGGCAGTTTTATACAAGTGTTGTAACAAAATGATCTCTGCGGAAATGAGTACTCAATAGGGTCCTTATTAATCCCTCAAAAATCGCACTTTGTCGCATTGGTGGAACTTGGAATAAAATGGCCGCCATCTTGATTTTTTCGAATTTATTAAATATTTCGTAAAGTATACATTATATAAAAAAAAACTCAAGAGACTTTTTTTATGGAGAATCAAAAGTTATTATTATTTACCTATAATAAAAAGAAAGTTTAAGTCTATTGATCAAAAAACAAAAAAGTTATTGAAATTTATATGATTTGGCAATATGGGTTTTTTAAAAATTTGGTAAATATCTGAATTAGTTAAAATTGTTTTGTATGCCCAATTTTCCAAATAATTAAGGATTTTAAAGTAAAATACTCTATAATTGGGCAATTATTCACATGTTTGGCAACACTGTCCGACACCCACGCGACGGCAACTTAAGACGACCTTGTTACTATGCGGTTTATTGTTTTAGTTTGCGCGCAATTCGTAAGCGAATAACACGTGGTGTAATTTAGGTGTGATTGTACGAATTCTGACTTGTTTATAAAACTTTTTTCGCATTTCTTTATATCAATATCTTTTGAAACAAGTAAATGTATTTTTTTTTAACAATATCTTTGTGCACCAGTATTAAACAGTATGAGTTCAATATCAAATTGTGCTATTTGTGTAATATCGCCATAGTGCGTGGTGACGAGGACGACTTATAAACTAAGATTTATTTTAATTACTTAGTATCCTTGAGCCTGCTCGAATATTCTTATTATTATACTTGTTTTTCTCCCCTAAAAAAGTATTTGGATTTTTCTTATTACATTTTTTTTTCGTGTTATGTAGTTTTTCATTCAGCACATAAAAACTCTTTGAGCTTTTTTATAAAATGCATACTGTTCCAGATATTAACCAAATTTAAAAAATCTCTATATAGCCAATTCATATAAATCTCAATTTTTTTTTGATTTTTAGCAAATATTCTTGAAAATGTCTCTATTATAGGTATATTTTGATCATCTATAAAAATGATCTTTGAGTTTTTAGCGCATTTTTGCAAAAATTTTTTTTGTAAAAAGTTGCTTTTAATCTCACTTTGGCTGGCTGGCTGGCTGGCTGGCTGGCTGGCTGGCTGGCAGCAAATGTGGGCGCGTAGAAGAACTCTTGTAGAAAGGCAACGGGTGTACGTGTATCTACAGGGCCGTGAAATTTGTCACCCTTAGGGACATGGCTACATGATGTGGGGTTGGCGACATCTGGGCGTCATCCTCGAGCGTAGTATACTAACGTGAAGGTTTTTCAGTTTTTCCTATCTTCTACTACAGTTTTGGTCCGATTCTTTTCAAATTGGTGTCGTCGGAAAGATGTTGTAAACGCGCACAACTCCTGCGTGGCGGAATTTTGTTTTTTGTTATAGGGGCGAAATTAACGACCTTTTGCGAGGTGCGCGCGCGCGCGTCTTCGAGAAGTAGTCAACTTCGGGCGCCTTTTACGTTCCGTTGCGAACTCGCGCGGTTTAACGTTTCGTAAATTTCGAATCGCTGTCTCTCTTTCTCGTGTCGCCAATAGAAGCGAATTGCGGGTGAACGAGACGTCGGAAGGGGGTACCGTCAAAGGAAATGTGGTAGCCCCCGACACGATCTTCCTGATGGTGGAGTCAAATCTTCAAACGCGAATTGCGGGTGAACGGGACGTCGGAAGGGGGTACCGTCAAAGGAAATGTGGTAGCCCCCGACACGATCTTCCTGATGGTGGAGTCAAATCTTCAAACGCGAATTGCGGGTGAACGGGACGTCGGAAGTGGGTACCGTAAAAGGAATGTGGTAGCCCGCGACACGATCTCACTGATGGTGGAGTCAAATCTTCAATCGCGAATTGCGGGTGAACGGGACGTCGGAAGGGGGTACCGTCAAAGGAAATGTGGTAGCCCCCGACACGATCTTCCTGATGGTGGAGTCAAATCTTCAAACGCGAATTGCGGGTGAACGGGACGTCGGAAGTGGGTACCGTCAAAGAGAATGTGGTAGCCCCCGACACGATCTTACTGATGGTGGAGTCAAATCTTTAAAAGCGAATTGCGGGTGCACGAGGAAAGTGGGAAGCGGTTAGTGAATGTAGTAGCCTTCGACAAGATCTGTTATTGATGGTTGAGTCGAAAGTGGCTAATAGAATACTGATCTGCCACACAAAAATGCGCTGAAGTCCCTTCGATCTCAAACGAGGACTTTGATAATTTTTTGATTTATGTATATCAATTATTTAATTGCGGAAATGGAAGATCGGAAACAAGGGATTGTGATGAACTGATGATTAATTGCATTCGTTTATTTACCAACATAATGAGAAAGCTAAGCATGATAAGTTCCAATTTGAAAAAAAAATCTACCAAATAGATGGAGCAATAATTTAGCACTTTATTATCTGCTATTACATTCAATGGTGATGGAGACCTAAGTTAACGGCATTTTAGGTTTTCATTATTACATCACAATCACGAAAACAATAAAAAACAACAATTGACGTCCACCACTAAAATAGCTACGATTAATGCCTGTCTCCTCTATTTAAAACAATTTCCGATTCTTTTTAACGTCCACCTTCCTGCCTTAACAAATTAATGCGTCGTTGAACAATAAACTGCACCTGTGTTTTCTTATATTGAAACTAATTAGCTTATGCCGCGATAACAAAACTTCGTATCTACGACCGGAGATAAACTTTTACAACTTCCAGATGTTTAAAACTAGTGTTTTAACACGTAATAAACATGAACAAATTGGTCTGCCAATAAATTTACACAGGTGGTATCTATGTAGTGTATGTTTAATTGTACGCTGCCCTTAAATAATTGTTTATCTTCAGATAAACTTTTTATTTTAGAGTGTGACGGCGTATGGTCGCAGCATGATTGAACAAACTCGTGCGGAAGTCGAGCGACATTATTCGATTGCAAATGGGTACGAAAATGATGCCCAAGTCATTTATGGCGACACTGATTCGGTGATGGTAAACTTTAAAGTTAAAACATTAGAGAGCGCAATGGAATTGGGACGCGAGGCTGCAGAGTTAATTAGCCAAAAATTTGTAAAACCCATTAAGCTAGAATTTGAGAAGGTATTAAGGTGAAGTTCGCCCAATCCCAGCTGTTCAATGTGCATGTTGCAGGTGTACTATCCGTATTTATTGATCAATAAGAAGAGATATGCGGGTCTGTATTTTACCAATCCGAGCAAATATGATAAAATGGATTGCAAAGGAATCGAGACTGTTCGTCGAGATAATTGTACCTTAGTTGTTGATGTTATAAATACATGCCTGCAGAAGTTATTAATCCACAGGTGAAGTGAATTTAAATGAGAAAATAAATGTTTATTTAATTAATTAGAGATCCGGAAGGTGCGATTGCATATGCAAAACAAGTCATTTCAGATTTGTTACAAAATAACATAGATATATCGCAGCTAGTAATCACAAAGGAATTAACAAAAGCGGACTATGCCGCAAAGCAAGCGCACGTGGAACTGTCGAAGAAAATGACCAAACGCGATCCGGGTAATGCCCCAAAGCTGGGCGATCGTATCCCGTATGTTATAATCGCAGCAGCAAAAAACACACCCGCCTTTCAAAAAGCGGAGGTACGTTGTTTTAGGGCGGACCATTTGTTTATTAAGAATTTCAGGACCCCATTTATGTCCTCGAAAACAATATTCCGATTGATGCAACATACTACTTGGAAAATCAGCTCTCTAAACCCTTAATTAGGATATTCCAACCTGTTCTTGGGGATAATGCAGAATCGATTTTATTACGTAAGCTGCTAATATTAAAGTGTACTAAATTGAAAGAGATACAATGCTGTATACATGTGTTTACTTTGTTTATAAATTATGTTCATCCAACCCTGGTTTAAAATGAAGAAACATTTACTGAATCAACTTTCTTATTCGTGGAGCGATTTTTTTGGAATTTCAGCAATTGATCCCTTAAACATGTCGAAGTAATCTAGAAGTAATTGTTTTATTAGTGATGCGATGTTTCTGAAAGTTTTAATGCCATCTCTTTCAAACTAATCTCAGGACTTATGTCAGGCATGGGGGGGGACTAGAAAACTGAGTGTTAGAAGAGGTACTAACAAAAAGAAAATGACAGGTGTGAACACGGCGCATGCGCGTAACACTCCTGCTTCATTAATTGAGCGAATACATATTTGTATAGCATTGAATCTCTGCAATTAGTTTTTATTTGCTGATACCTATTCTATTTACAAACAGGTGGTGAACATACCAGAACTAAAACTGTGGTAACATCTAGAGTAGGAGCTCTTTCCGCGTTTACTAAAAAAAAGGATACCTGTTTGGGGTGTCGTTCAGTTCTGACAGATAATTGTAACGGTGCGGCTCTATGTATGCACTGCAAGCCCAAGGAATCGTCGTTGTATCAACAAGAATTATCGCATCATCGTTTGTTGGAAGATCGGTTTGCTGCCTTGTTTACAGAATGCCAAAGATGCATGGGATCTTTACACGAAGAAATTTTATGCACCAGCCGAGATTGTCCTATATTCTATATACGCAAGAAGGTGCAAATGGAGTTACAGACTAGCGATAAACGAATAAACAGATTTGGAGAGAACTTAATTGAGGAGTGTTAACCAGTTGTTCAATTATTATTGTCTTAGAAATGTATTTTTTATTCAAGCTCAATTTATCTTAATAACTTAAATATACAAATTATACATTGTTATGTAATGATGAGGAATGGTGTTTTTAAGTTGATAGGCGTAAAAATAGTACACAAAATATGATTAGACTAGTTCCGTTTACAGAAAAACTATTTTCTATTTTGTAATGCATTTGCCAACCAATCCATAGCTTGATCCAATCCCTCTCCTTTCGTTGCAGACGTTTTGAATATTTGAAATGTTCTATTTTTTAGTGCATCCAAACCTAAGGCTTGATGCACCTCTGCCACACTCATGCATCCCGCCATATCTTGTTTATTTGCTAATACCACTAGAATTGCTTCTTGTAATTCTTCTTCCTATAAAATTATATTACAATGCGAGAAAATTGGCAGGTTCCCTCACCCGAAGCATGTGGAATAATTCATCCTTCGATATACCTATTCTTTCCTTGTCCGCAGAATCGACTACGTAAATAATAGCGTCTGTATTACTATAATAACATCGCCAATACGGTCTAAACAACGCGAATGAGAAAGATGAGTTTGTGCTTGTATAATTACCACCTAATACTCGTCTGTCCGCCTAAATCCCATACTTGAAACTTTAAATTTTTATACTGCACTTGTTCTACATTAAATCCGATCGTTGGGATTGTCGTTACCACTTCCCCGACTTGTAGCCTATATAATATTGTGGTTTTACCAGCACCATCCAAACCGAGAATAAGTATTCTCATTTCGCGAGATCCGAAAAGACCACGAAAATAACTTAATAAACCACCTAAAACGTAACCTCAAAACATAAGGAAGTAATGTCGAGAAACAACCAACCCATCGTCCAGTAATTTGTAGAAATAATTTTTTAATTGTAATCCTTTTCCTTTATTTCATTTTCAATGCATAACAAAGTTCCGGAATAAATTTTCAAAAATACAACGGTCTGACGTGTAAAACCTTGAAATGGTGGCATATGTTTGATTTGGCTGTGCCTACTGCAAGTATTGTTTTTAGGTGCGTTCGTTTATACAGAGATGAGCATAGAAATTGTTTAGTGTTTTTAAAGCCCGATTCAGATTTCGAGGTAAAAAAATTTACAGTTCAATGTTGTCGGGTGATTCTTTAGAAATAATAATTGTTCGAATTTCCCGCAAAACAAAAAAGAAGGCTTGCATTCACTAAATTGTTTATTTATTAATAATTTAGAAGTCACGTCTCAGTGTATTGACTATAACAATTGTTCAAAATAAAAACAACAGTTACTGGTTTCGCAAATGGTAGTCATAACAGAAAAAATTACTATATATGCATTGATTATTATAGTATGTATAATCATTCATTTAACACTTTTAAAGAATCACCCGGTACAATGTAGGTACCATAGTTACTAACATCAGGAATTCCACAGCGATTGTTAGCCACAGTCGGCTACCGCTGTTTTGTGTTGACCAAAATTTGATTTGCCTGTTCTTAAGTTATAATCAGATAGTTTTCTGCTTTATTGAAATTCTTTCGAATGAATGAGACAGCGACATAAATAAGTTCAATATCGAAAGAATTTACACCCTTTCATCATGGATCAAATGTTACCTAGTCCCGGTTTTAGCATTCCTAGTATAGGTAAGTTTTATTTAAGCTTTAATTATCCTGAAATTAAAATCAATTGGTTGTTAGGTACTCCTCTACATCAACCGGAAGAAGATCAACAAATCCTTCCCAATGCATTACAACAAGCTTCTCAAGTTCAAATTCCACCATTAGCCCCAATGGGCGGTTTAACGCCAACCCTCGGCTTAGGTATGGGTTTGTCCGTCATTCCTCAAACAACAAAATACTTGCCGGGTTTTGCAACACCACAAAGTTTAATGCAACCACAAACTCCTGTACGTTTTTTTTGTGTCAGTATGTTTTTCTTATCACGTGTGTTTTGTGTAGCAACAAACAATGTCATCGTCTATGGTGAACGTTGGTGGTTCTAGTAACTCGGTACCGCCACCTAGTATAGGCCCCGCAACACCCGCACCTATGACACCTTTAACACCACATTCGGCGGATCCCGGTATTGTACCTCAATTACAGTAATTATGTTGCATTGCAAAATGCCAGCATTAATAAGTGATTTTTAGAAATATCGTTTCGACAGTTAATTTAAATTGCAAGTTAGACTTAAAAAAGATCGCTTTACAAGCCCGAAACGCTGAGTACAACCCAAAACGGTTTGCGGCAGTCATTATGCGAATACGCGAGCCACGAACCACCGCTTTAATTTTCTCTTCAGGTAAAATGGTCTGCACCGGCGCCAAAAGCGAAGAAGATTCGAGGTTAGCGGCAAGGAAATACGCTAGAATTATACAAAAATTAGGATTTCCCGCCAAATTTTTAGATTTTAAAATTCAAAATATGGTCGGAAGCTGCGATGTCAAGTTCCCGATCAGGTTGGAGGGTCTGGTTTTGACGCACGCGGCGTTTACCTCGTACGAGCCAGAGTTATTCCCTGGACTGATCTATCGTATGGTGAAGCCGAGAATTGTTCTTTTGATTTTTGTTTCCGGTAAAGTTGTGTTAACAGGCGCTAAAGTGCGCCAAGAAATATACGAGGCGTTTGATAACATTTATCCTATTTTAAAAAGTTTTAAGAAACAATGAGATGTAATTACATTCACTATTTATCAATCATTTGTGTTTCTTTTAGTGTCCTCAGTGTCTTTCCTTTAACAATATTCGAATCTTGCTTGCAGATACTCAATAATAAAGAGGATTTGAAAACTTCCTTCCTCAATTCTGTGTTTGAGGCATCCATTTCCTTCAAATAAATTTGTTGGTACCTACTTTGTTTAAATACTTTTTTAAACAATGGTAGGTACCTATATAACAATGTGAATAGTATTAATAAGATGAGGGTATTATTTATATCGGACTTTATTTTATATACCATCTCATGTAGTGTTTGTGGGCGTACTCTGCTTAATTAATTGTTATTAATTTTTTTGTACATTTAGTATAATCTGCGCGTATGTCCCATTCCATTCAAAAAACATTTATTGTGCACCAGTAGCTTTGTAGGATGGGTTGAAAAAAAGACGGCAGAAACAGTTGGCTTTATTTGGTACATGATTTAGGATAATTATAATATTCATAAATCAATCAGCCGCTGGCGTGGAATAATTAGAAATTATCTAAAATTGAAAAATTATCGTATGCAATAATGAAGTTTGACACATAGCAATCTAGATAGGGTATATGTTTCAATTTTAAATATCATCATTAAGATTAATGCAGCAATTGGTTTTTACTTTCCGCAGTAGAGAGGAAAATTGCATTTTCTTCACCCTATTTAGAGACGAAAGTAAAGATAGGCAACTAAAATTGCACGTAAAACTCCAAGGGTGATCATCACTTGATAGAAAAACAAATGAAACCACCTGGCATTAAACTACACATTGTTAACTCATTACTAATGACATGGATTAGATTAAATAAACTAGTGTACAGTGTCTGTACATAGGGCTATCTGTAATTTAAAAAAAAAGCTATAGGCATGCTTTAAAATCATTCCTTCTTTCAATTTACTAGTTAAAACCCTTAACGTTCCCTAAACCCATTTTAATTCTTCGATTTTTTTGCAAATTTTTGAGACCCCTCTACGCTTTCCGTTTTACCGGCAAAATTCGTGGTGACGTCAGTACAAAAAACATTTCGAATCGTTACATTTGAATACCTTCTGGAGAAATTTTATTACGTGTAGAGTTGGTTGCCTATTGTTTTGTCTATCTTTTTCCTATTCTTTCTTTTGGCGCATTTCATTACTTTTGTTTTTTTCTTGTTGATTTTCATACTGTAGCCTCTAGATAGTATTCCCCCCATACCGTTTAATCCTGTTTCTAGATCCCTTTCCCTTTCTGCAATCGAATGCTTTTTCTAAATGGACGAAAGCTATGTAAGTTGTTTTTCCTACTCTTAACTTCTCCTCCAAGATTGTCCTAAGCGTTATAATATAGCTTCGCGCGTGCCACTATTTTTCCTAAACCCGAACTGGTCATTCCGAGTAGATTTTTAGGCGAATTTTTCGAAAGAAAAAAAATCCTCTTATGTGATGGTTTTGTCCGTCTGTCTGTTCCCCGTCCAACTCTAGAACGAAAAGAGACATCAGCGATGTCAACTTCGCCAATCGATCCCTACGAGTTCAAGGATCAGTATTATTGAATATAAGCCGGATCAAAAGTCTGGTTTCCGAATACGAGCTCAGTGGCAAAAATGTCCCACACTGAAAATCGTATGCAATTCTTCGTACCTTGTTAATTTTCACTTTGGCGTAGTATTACGTAGACACTTTTGAACTTTTTATGGCTCTGAAAGTGTCATACGATAGCCCTTCGCCCTTCTCCTTTCGATCGCCATACCATGCTTCCTATTCATCCATGAAAAGAACTTTTCATATTCTTTATAATAGGATAGTTAGATAAGAGGTGTGTGTATAATATATAGGATAATAGGATTTACTAGAATTTTTCTTTAGATTTTACAACAAACCATTTAATGGACTGTGCATTATCTTCTTCAACCGAAATCGTTTTATTGACAAAGACGGTGATTTTTATAAACAAACGTCAAGTGACATTTCCATGGCAATCACGAAATTAAGAACACACAGCCCACTTAATTAGACATGTATTCGAGTCTATATGGTTTCATTGTATTTTCCTTATTTTTAAATTATATTGTAGGTAAAATCAAAAATACTATAAGAAACACGTACGTATTGATCTTTAAAGCACTGGCAACGTTTAAAGGCACTTCGCGTCGTGCCATTAAACTCGTTGGGCGTGCTTTAAAGAGATTATGCGATTGTCTCTGAATATACTATTTTTTGGATATTTTGAGCATATGAATGTGACTTTTCACGGAGGATTCGATTCCGTCGAAAAACTTCCACGACCTTCTTTCAATCAAAATTTTATTCCTTCTACCTTATTTAATAAATGTAAGTTTTATATCCAAAAGGGCTTTTCCTATTTTCCAATTATTTCCAAAATCAGCTTTTAGGAATTAGAGGGAACATTAGCATAAAATGTTTCCCACATTGGTCTGCTTCTTACAAAGTTATACCTAATTCAATAAATATCGATTTTATTGCCAAAAAGGCATTTGCCACTTTGGAATCGCTTCCAAAAGCTTTTCTATGAGACTTGTTTGCTTGCTAATTAAGCACTTTATTTTAGTGATAGGTACTTAAACTTGACGTTAACCGAAATCCGTCAACTTTAACTTCAATCTCAATGTCTTTTTTAATATAAACTTGAAATCACGAATCTTTGTCCCTGCGTCATTGATTTGTGAATCAATTTCAGACAAGTTTTTTATCGATTTCGCATACTTGACAGATATTACAGTGTTTTAGCGTATGTCTGAAATTGATTCACAAATCAATGACGCAGGGACAAAGATTCGTGATTTCAAGTATATGTGTTTTTAGCACCGTGACGTCATTAACTGTTTTTTTTTCAAATAGTAACGAGCGAGTTTTGGATTGGTTACCCATTCAAATTAGAGTATTAATAGTCGAAGAAAATCGCCGTGCCATTTAAGTAGATGAGTATAACCGGATGTGTTATACACCATTTTAAAGAGCTTAACATGTTCTACCACTTGTGAAAAATTCAACATTTTTCTGGTGGTACCGAACTTGGACAATTACAAAAAAATCACAAAATTTCGAGCGCGCGGAAAAACGTAGACAATAAAATAAAGAATTATTAATAATAAACACAAACAAAAGTAAAAAAAGCGCAGGAAGTCGTAACACAACAACAATGAGTACTTAGGAAAGAACGTACAAAAAATTACGACTATCGGGATCTAATTAGAATTATTAATTTTTTTCATAGAATATATACAGGGTGGTGACTTGCGTAACGCATCAGGGATTTCAATGTAAAATTCATAACATGCGATTATTGGCTCCCCTAATTATTTTAGAGCAAAAATGTATTAAAGTTTTTTGTAGAAAAAATTTTTTACGCCAATCAACCGTATTAGTTTTCAATTTCTTGAATAATAAAGACGGAAAATTCTCAATCAAAAGTTATGGACTAGAAACCAATTTCGAAAGAAAATTCAAAGGGCTGTAACTTTTGAACTATAGTAGCCCAATCTTGGAACCGTTTGAAATTATGGATTCTACAGGCCACATTCTATAAGAAACTTTTTTTCCGGTCGATCCGAGACCATTTTTTTTTCGGGGCTAAAAAAAAGGCAGTGTAAAACTTCCTTTTTTACCAAAAATCGACTGCACCAAAATTTCTCGGGAAAACACTTTTTCTTATAATTTGGTGCGTAGAATCCAAAACAATTCGTACTTTTTCGATCGGACTTCTCAATCAAAAGTTATGGACTAGAAACCAATTTCGAAAGAAAATTCAAAGGGCTGTAACTTTTGAACTATAGTAGCCCAATCTTGGAACCGTTTGAAATTATGGATTCTACAGGCTACGGAAAAAAATAATTTTCGCTACATGGCTGATTTTTTGTGTAAAGTATCCTGATACACAGTGAAGTAGAAAAAGTCATATCTTCCAGCTAGATCATTTTTTGACACAACACCACATTGTGCTTATGTTGCGTGGATATTGTCATTGAAGATACGAGTGAAAGCGACAGATACCACAGTGGTAATTGTTGTTTGATTGCTATCAGTACTTATTGCTATATGATTTTGATAGTCGTAATATAACAAAATCACGAAGGTTATAAGAGGGGTCAAAGGACGTGTTTCCTAATGGCGATAAAAATGCTGAATTAATGATATTTGTGAATCTTCCTGGGAAACCATCATACACTCCTATTTCTAGTGATACAAAAATTAAGTCTTCGGAATGCTGGTAGTAACAACGTTATCTGTAATAGTTTTATCTATTGCCACCTTCAAATTTCTGCAAATATGGAATTTTTGGAAGAGAAAAGGAATTCCGTACGTGAACGTGTTTCATTCTTTTCGCAACTATGCAGAAAATGCATTTCGTCGTAATGATACCACGGCCAAATTGGAAGAGATCTACGCCAAATTTCCCGGTGCCAGGTAAGGACCACAATTCTCCATTTTCTCAACAAAACACCTGATTACCTTAGATACATTGGATTTTATCAGTTTTTGCAACCAGTTCTGATAGTTAGAGATCCAGAACTAGTTAGAAAGATAACAGTTAAAGATTTCGAGTCATTTACCGATCATAACACCTTCATAACACCCGAGATTGATAGTCTATGGACAAAGAATTTGTTTATTATGAAAGGTGAGTTCATTCATTGTGGGACCAATTCTAATTTCTTGAATAGGTGATTGGAAACAGACCAGAGCGTCTCTGACACCACTGTTTACGGCTAATAGAATGCGAATAATGTTGACAGTGATGGATGAGTGCACGAACCAACTTCTAACGTTTTTAAGGAGCCAAGCGGAAAACTCAATCCACGATGCGCTCGACGTCATGACAAGATCAGCGGCGGATATCTTTGGCAGAACGATGTTCGGAGTCATCTGCAACTCTCACGTGAACAGACATAATGAGTTTTACACCATGGCCCACAATATTGCAGCAATGGGAAACCTCAAAGGTCCCGCGTTTTGGGGGTATTACTTCTGCCCTACCCTAATCAGCGTGAGTAGTTACGCACTTGACAGCCCCAAAAAATAACACGCTCCAATAGCTACTTCGGGTAAAAATGTATCAACCAACCGAACACAACTTCATAAGAACGTTGATACTGGAAAGCATGAAAGTTCGAAAGGAGCAGAATATAGTCTTTCCCGATTTAGTCCAACTGCTAATGGAAATGCACGCCTCTTCTTACAAAAGCGCAAATGGCGTTCAAAAACGACAACTGTCCGAAGATGAAATAATTGCGCACACGTTGCTCTTCTGTTTTGCCGGGTTTGATACAGTCGGTTACGTTCTATCACGCCTGTGTAAAGTTTTGGCCGAACACCCAGATATCCAAGAAAGGCTCTGTGACGAAATTAGACGGACGGAATTGCAATTTAATGGCGAATTCACTTACGAGGCGCTCTACTCGATGAACTATTTAAACAGCGTAGTGCTAGGTAATTTACAGTTTAATCAAACGAATGCCATGTGACTTTTCAGAGACGCTTCGTATGTACTCACCGTCTACCATACTAGACCGAAAGTGCGTCAAACCATATCTCATTGAACCAGTTCATAAAGACGAAAAGCCGCTACTTCTCGAGAAAGGAAGTTGGATCTTTGTCTTGCACTGCGGAATACAAAAGGATCCCGCCTACTATTCAAACCCAGAAAAATTCGATCCAGATAGGTTTAGCGCATCAAACAAGTCAGAGCAGTTGTTAACTTTCTTTACCTTTGGATCAGGGCCGAGAAGGTGCATCGGTAGGTATATTATTAGTTGTTAGTTGGCGATTAACTTCTGTGCAGGTTCCAGATTTGCTATCATGGAGATGAAATACTTGATAGTTCAGTTGCTTCGGAATTATGAATTACTGTTACCTGATAATAATTTCGATGGAAATAATGAACTTGCAGTTTATTTGAGATTTCAGGCAAAGTCTACGAAAGATTTCTTGTGCTCAATTGGAAACGAAAATCTATTAAACATGCCTTCAGATCGAAACATTGACCAAGCTAAAATTTAAATTTTTGCATTTCTTTTATTAATATTTAAATTATAATTATATGCATGTCTCATTATAAGCAAACATTGACCGTTATATACTCTTTGTTATAAGTATAACATATATATATATAATATTTGTTGTGCTATCCAATAATTACCTACTGCCAATTAATGTCGTTATTTCGAAGCACTGCGTAGGTGTTTTAACGGTGAATTTCCTCCTTAATAATTAAATTTGCATTGCGGCGAAGGTGGGATTAGATCAACACTTTTAAAGGAAAGGGGAAGTGCATGGCTTGATATCTGTTGACATTTTTTTTGTGCAGGGAGCCAGGAACACAGTCATGCTAACGGGTGGGTGGGCCTGGCGCAAAGCCAAATAAAGTTAATCAGTCATGTTGAAGATTTCCAGAAAATTCTGTACGTCTCAAAAAGTTCCTAATGTTTCGAAGACTAGAAAATTGAATGCAAACATCAAAAAAGTTTCGGAAAAAAAAGAGACGGAGGACGCTGGAGGAAGTAAATGACGATCCCCTCGAACGTACTGTTTAATGTAATGTAATTTTGGATTTTTCAATTTTCCAAAATGGAAACTTCCGCCACTTACCGGCTGTGGTAATTGTCACCCTTAATTTCTGACTTTTATCTAAATAACTATTACTTCTCCTACTTCTTCTGGTTAATTAAATTCGGCTCGTCGGTTATAACCCTCTTCTGGCCTGATAAGGTAGGGGTAACAAATAATAACTCAATAACCTTCATTAAAATTGAATTGGTTCTTATTTTCTTAAAAATATCGCCTTTGCTGTAAGAAAATAGGTACATATTAGCTTACACTAAGATATTAGTAAATGGGGTTGAGGCTGAACAATTTTCTAACCTAAATGGTTAAACCACATCAGTGTAAATTATGTAACGGGTTTTCCAATAAGAGGTGTTATTTTGATATTCAAAGGAAAATGCCATTTTTTAAGATAAATGATCGGATATTTATTACATTATAAAGAGGAAAGTGTAATGTTTAGCTAATTATTGGTAATTCTCAAGAGGCGTTAAATAAAATAAACGTCAATTTGATAGGTACTAAAACACGACTGGCTTTATTAGTAGGCTGACTCAATGCCTTCTACAAATGGTAACTAATAGGTATGCAAACCAAGTAATACATAACACGTCCTACCTTTAACAAAATTAAAAATAACTAAACAAATTAGAACACAAACTAATAAACGATAAATAATTTCATATCAAACTTTTTAGGTGGTCTTACAACACGATCACAACGAGTTACTAATCTGCTTTCTCTGGTATTTCCATATTGACCATTGCCGTTTCCGACATATTCATCACTATCATCTTCTTTTGTTACAAAAGAGTCATTAAAAGGAAGATAATTGGAAGTCGATGATTGAGTATCTTGCTCAAAACTATCTTGTGTCTCAACTGTGTTTTTGTGATCCAATTTTTGATTTATTTTAAGTGGTTTTAGGAATCTTCGATTTCTTCTGTACACAGCGTCGTTCAGATTAACCAAATAATCATTGGGCCCAGATTCTTTAATCACTGTTGCAGGTTTCCAGTCTCTCATTCCTTGTTGCATCATTTTGTCTATAGGACACAACTTTGAAAGTTTTTTTAAATTTTTTGTCATAGTGTACTTTTTGTTTATGTTGTTTGCACTTTAATGTTTGTTTAACCATTTTTGCTGAATATTTTGGATTCAAAATACTCTTGGCAACGGGCAATGTTGATCTTAATCGTCTTCCCATTAACAAATACTGGGAGATGGAAAATCTTGCTTCGGAGTAATGTTATAATTTAACACCGCGAGAAACGGATCAGTGCCTTCTTCAAATGCTTTGGTAAGTAAACCCTTAACAGTTTGAATAACTCTCTCAATCATTCCATTTGATGCAGCGTTATGTTGGACTCGAGGCCGTTAATTTAATGTCATATTCTTGAGCAAAATTAAAAAATTCTTTTGAATTAAATGGAGGTCCGTTATCTGACATAATTTCCTGTGGTAGATCATTAATAGCAAAAACGTTTTTAAGACACCTTCTCCCGTTTTTTTTGGTAATTTGTTTACTACTCCGAATTTGCTAAAGTAGTCAACAATAACAATCGCATTTAGAGGACCCAGGCTTTTAAAATCAATTCCAATTTGTTGCCAAGGCAAATCTGGAACCTTGTGTGGTTGTAGGGGTTCTCGTGTGTTAGCTTTTGAATATTTTTGGCAAATCAAGCAGGACAATACTAAATTTTCTATGTCTGTTGTTAAGCCAGGCCAATAAACGGATTCTTGTGCAAGCAGTTTGGTAGAAACTACTCCCTGGTGAGACTTATGCAACAATTGTAAAAATTCATGTTGCAAATTTTTTGCCACAATAATCCTTCTCTTGTAAAAACGTATGTTTTTGTGAAGATAAATGTCTTCTTTTATTTGCCAAAATATTTTGAGTGATGGTGGTAGGTTACACTTGTGGAACGGCCAACCATTTTGAACATAGTACTTGATTTTTTTGTTAGGTCACAGTCTTGAATCAATTTCCATTTGGTAGGCGCTTTTCGTTCTCCAGCTGAAGTGTTAATTACCTGAAAACACTCTTAGATTTTCTTCAAGGTAACTTTGTATCAAATGCGGTCTTTAAAGGTTCTCGCTTAAATTATCAGTTATTGTTGATTTTTTCCCGGAACATACTGAGATCAAAAAATAACCTTAGTAAACTAGTGCCAACCTTTTGGATTCGCAAGGAGACTCTCATCGAGAGGTTTTTTTCAGTAATCTATTAAAGGTCTGTGATCACTTCATCAAAGAATTTTCTGGCCAAAACAGGGTAGTATATGAAAACGTTTCGCAACCCAAAAACCTAGAGCTAAAGCCTTTGGTCTATGTGATTATGACGTTGTTGGGTTGAAGAAGGATATTGAGGTATTCTATTGATTCCTCCTGCATAATAACAGCCTCAAAACCGAAAGGACTTGCACGACAGATAATACAGTGTCTTTATTTGGATCAAAATAGCTAAGGGTTGTGATTGACGTCACGCAGCGTGTTCAGACGATCAAAACTCTTTGTTCATTGCAACCATTGCCATTCCACACTATTTGAAGTAATTTTCGTTAAAATTACGTTCAGTTGAAAGATTCGGTTAATTTTGACAAAGAGACAATCCATACCCAGAAGCGTGTGAGATCTTTTTTTGTTGGGGGTGGTTTCATTTCTAAAATGGCTTTAATCTTACTGTTGTCAACTTTCAATGCCTTGTGAACTAAATATTAGTGCCCACAAATTTACTTTTTGTAACACCAAATCTTAGATTTTTGTAAAATTTAAAGTTAAATCAGATTTTGCAATTTTTTTGCAGAGTTTTTCCCAAATTAAAATTATGTTCTTCGATTGTTGTTCATAAACTAATGATATTCGTCAAAGCTACGGCTATTACTCGCCCCAATGTCATTTAGTGTCATACAAAATTCTGAAATATTCTCCGGGCGCAGAACTTCAAGCCATATGGAAGTCTTAAATAGCGATAGCGCCAAATATGGCGTAGATATGAGTGCATAATAAAGACTTTTAAATCCCAACGGAATTTGCAGGAAAAGCGCTGGAAGCATCTAACATGAAAAATATTTTGCACCCGCCAACTCAGAATAAATAAAGTATGCTTGCGTTAGGAATTTGAAAAAATTCTCTTTTGATATAGAATTTAAAGATCGAGGATCCATACACACTCTTATATACCCCATTTGACTTGGGGCTCATATGACTATGGGATGTACCCAATCAGTTGGTTTCTTTACAGGAACAGATAATGTTTTCAATTATCAGATTCGTCAAAGTTTTTGTTTTACTTTGTTTTAATGCTACATAGGTATTTTTCTTGTACAGATATTTGAGGAAGTTGCATCTTTCCTTAGCGTTAATGCTATATATGTTTTCGAAACTTATACCGATTCCCGAGAAGCCACTTTTTATACTTGGAAACCAGCAGTGTTCGTTACTTTCCAATGTTTTAGTCGCACACAAACCGTTGAGACCCAAATGAATTATTTTACGATTTTAATTCACGTACTAACTTTTAGTCCTAAAATCGAGGAATTTTTTGCACTCAGTGAGCACGTGGAATACACAAATTTTTTGGTTAACACCGTTATAAGTGTCAATCTAAGTTTATTTGCCCTAGTAGTTCAATATCATGACCCAAATAGATGAAAGTTTTGTTCCAGTTTGCTTAACGTGATAGCTACAAATTCCAAGTTTTTAAAAATCTGCAAGTTTCAATATATATTCACTCACTACCCAGTGTCTATTTAATTTTAATTTCCAATGTTTTGAAATGTAAATTGTTTCATACCACTCAATATGAAATTGTAACTGTTTTTTTATTAGGGTCCAGAAAAGATTATCCAAAACTATGTTTTTGAAGATAATCATTACTGGAATCACAGTTAACAACTATAATTGTGTGAACATCAGCATTCATCAAAGCAATGACTCAGTTTCGATTCATTAGATATGCGATTTGAATATACTTATTTTTACAAAATTTTCAGATACGTGCCCTTTTCTACGCACGACTACAAAACACCGAAATTAGCGCAGGCACTTACCTTTTTCGCTGTTCTAAACCAAGTTTTGCATTCTGTTTTATGTATTTTGTGATCCATAGGAGTTGTATTCAGTCACTTGCCTTACTACTGGTCCCTGAATCATTTGCACTATGAATTATATTTCGAAAGTATTTTTTGTTTATGCTCCAATGATTCCGTATTTACGGCGTAGAAATTCACTTTTAGCATTCGTCACGTTGAAATCTTTTTTTTGTTGCACTGGCACTATCTTTTCGATGCACTTGACATACGACACAGCTTTTTCGAGGGTTTAGTTTGTCTTCTTGTAATAATTTTTCCCTGGTGCGCTGATATGCGTTATCCGAGCGACTTATACGACGGTCAAGAATCATACGTTTCTTTTCTTAAAATTCACATCGAAAGGGAAACTGTTTTAAAAGTCAGTCACAAACTGATTCAAATGTTTCCTATGCTGGTTGTTCCCGTTGAAAAACTTAAAATGTTCAAAAA